CTTAATCTACATGTACTTACTGTCTTCATATTCCATGCACTGCTCCGTACTTGAAAATGGATATTTGGAATTGAAAACATAGGGGAAAGACAACCACCACTTGTCAATACCTCCACGTCACCTCCCACCCCTGATAAGACCAGGATCACCCAGCGTAGCACTCAAACAACCTACAGATGGCGACTGCACGCCATGCATAGTGCAGAATGTATTCAGAATAGAGTTTGGAGAGAACTTGGACATCCAATGTCGAATGCAAGGGGTAAAAACAGACATGATCAAGCCCACTATCAATGCATCCTCTACGCCTTTTATAGGGACCCCCATGTCCACAGTTCATATCCCCACACCACTGCTATATGCCTCAGAGTCTCGAGGTCTGACGTCTCACTGCTGTCTTTGCCTATTACCTGTTGCATTGTATAGGTAGCTCGATGTGTATAATGTAGGCCTGGAGGACCCAGGGTTCACATTCGAGCATGGATGCACCTGGTATACGCAGTAGACACCAGATATGCAGCAGGCACGCCTGTGTCCAATCAGCGCTGGGCGTGGCCTTCACGAGACTATTGGAATGGGTCCATATGGGGAAGATGCAGGTGATCTACCCTCCCTTGACGGACATCTCCACACTCTGTGATCAAAGGGGATGCGGGAGGTTGCATTTTTGTGATAGTTGAATAGGCCAGGTCCTCACTTGAACTGAGACTTGTTTGATTCCTACTTAGTACTGCGGTAGGGTGTAGAAGACGGGAGGTATGGGGTAAAAGTGAATGCACTGCGTACGCGTACGTAGGATCCAAATAACCTGATAATGCACTGTATGAGGGATATGAGACTGGTCAATCTACTCTACCATACAATCATAAGCAAGTGATAAGTTGCTAACACGCGCCAATATCTTAAAGTCAGAAATCCCTTTTGCAACCGCAACCCAAATCTATCACGGAACATGTGTAAGTACCGCACTAGAATGCGCAGTAATGGTATGTACAATACGATATACGACAACAGTCATTACCTTGATCGTGAGCTGCATCAGCGATCGAAGCGCCTGATTCGCGCGCCCGCGACCGACAAATTATGCCACAGCGCCCGATAAAATGACGCTCCCGCTGAAATATGATCGCCTCCATCTCTACATGTCGACAACATTGTAGATTTGTCCAATCACTCTGGACTCGCTTAAATGTATAGTAATTGTGGAAAAGCTAGTATGCAAGCCTCTCCTCAACTACCACCTACTTCCAGCATATCATAGCGGTGATTGATCATTTACACAGTACTACAAGTCCAGTCCAGATGTGTCTACTTACTGTACAACTATCCCACGGAAAGCTGCAGAATTGATCGGACACACAAGCGATTGCGAATCGATCAGGACGCGTTGAAACCTCGGGTTGATTTGCGCTTTCTGTTCCCGAATGGCACAAGACGGCTTGGTTTCATCTCTAATGTGATACAACATGCGCCGTTTGGCTTTGCTCTTGGCCTGAAACTGATACGTCGAGATTTGATCACTTGCCTCTTCTGTTCCCACGTGGGGTTGGGACCATGTGGGATGAATTGTGGTTGGTTTCTACACTGCCTGGGGTCTTGAGGACTTGTACCCGATCGCATGTTTTTGTGGGTGGTTATTCTTTCGTCTATCCCTCACACAATACTGACTCCTTAACTCCACCTGCGGGCACGCATCCTTCGATCTGGACTACCAGCCCCGCCAGCTTGCGTAAACTGTCGAGCTCAAGGCTTTCGACAATCCCCGATTCGGTCACACGCATAACAACAACCTCCTCACGCGGCACCATCCCTTGAAGAGTAACTTCGCACTCAGACCTAACAACAAGGTCTATCGAGCTCACATGAACTACTGGTCTGTTCGCCGGATGCAAGGAAAATCACCAACCCAGATCCAAATTCAAATCTACATCCAGTCTTAAGTCTACCGTCTAGAGTCTACGTCAGGGCCAATATCCCCCACTAATTAAACTTCTCGCAGATACCCTAACCTGCATTTTTGCAGTCTATTAAGCACAGTGACATACATGTACATATAAGGCAGAAGTCAAATTTCAACTCGGAGCTATAGACAATCTCAGTCCTCACATCCAGCATGATCTAGTCATGTTTCCAAATCTACTAGGCCATATCAGAAACATTTGCATCTCTCCCGTCAAACTTGAGCTTTGTCCCTCCTTGGTTTTATAGTACCATACAGAATTGCCGACGAGCCGTCGCGCCGCCCAGCCGCCGAGCCTCGTCTGTATATGTAGTGCTTGTATAATTTGCCGTGAAGGCCGAGGCATTTTAAACGCGACTGCATCCAAGCGCTGTGGTTGAATCCGCCGTTTTGGAGTCACACTCCACTTTATGCACGCCATTCACGTACAGTACTGTAGACACGGCTTGTTGAGCTTTATTTTTCCTTGACTATTGCCAAGTTGGGTAGGTTATAGGAGATTGGGTACAGAGTTATAGGTTGTTTTTTTAATTTCATACGCGCGACTGCATACTATACAGTACTTGAGGTCTAGTATATACACTAACTTAATTACTAACTTAATTCAGAAGATCTGTGCATGCTTCTAAGATGTGTGAACAAACAACCAGTCGGGTAGTCCAAGCCTAAAGCGATGTGTTGCTTTCAATGTTAATCTCGTCTCACCTTGATTATTCTTACTCTTATTTTACACTCTATCATAATTATCTAAATCATTCTAATCAAAACAAACCCCTTCAGCTATCAAGGGGCACAAAAGTACATGAACACGTAAATCCCTAATCCCCCTATCCACACCTCTAGCAACCTAATCCAAAGACCGAAAACCAAAGACCAGGTCCCCGAGGACCCCGACACCGACACTAACATCCCTCGCACATCCTCGTGCATTGTGCCTGTATCTCTGCATATTTCTCGGCACCAGCATCCCCATAGCTGCCCGGTCTAGCGGGTATTCACCGTACTTTTGTAGGGCCCCATTGGGTGGTTCTCCGCGCTGGAACTTGTTTGTCTCATGTGGCTCTGCTTGAAGATCTGTTAGCCGGGCTATATTCTGATTCCAGGGTTGGCTCGTTTTTGGGTGTGATGTGATGGAGTTAGATACAGTACAGAGGTAGCTGGAGTGGGATAAGCGTGTTTGATTTCGGGGTTTGGTGAAGAGTTTCGGTTTCTGCTAGGGATTCTTCGGGTGTGAGCAGATGTCTATTGATATCATATTGAAATCGAAGGATGGTTTTAAGTGGAAGGTGGTGTACAGTATGGTTTGCGATCGATGGAGTTTTACCACCCTTGATAGCATACAGCTACTTACTCCGTACTACCTTTTTTAATACATGCAACATCAATCCCGCACTTCAATGTACCCAATCCCAATGCAACAATAGGCTACCAAAATCATACCAAAGCACCGGTGAGGCGCAATAAGCGAACCCCATAAGTTGGAGAGTCACGGGGAGGAGTTCGGATCAGTCGACCCACACATAAAGATCTAACGATTGGTTAACTTATTCATTTAAACAGTTAAGTTACGAGTTGCATACCTAAAGTAGTAGATTAGCCTCTCAGAGACAAAGACACAACGTGGAGAAATCCCCGATGACTCGATCTGGCCGTGCAGATATTTACACATCCATTATTCGATTCTTCACTCTCTACAGGTACCGTGATCCCAAACAAAGTTCACCGGTCGATTTAGTCCATCTCCCACTTCCAACGCCCCATCCATACATGTAGAGTAACTCAATATCCGCTCTGAAAAATAAATGAAACCCCAAGGCCATAGCGCTGAACCCCATCTCCACCTACCGCCATTCAATTTCCACAGACCACATAGCAACCCCGACATCGGGACTATCAAATCGATACATCACATCAGAGTTGATCTGGAACAGGCGTGGCAAGTCTATATCTGGTGCGTTGAAGATCTTGAGCTCATCAGACCGTACTTTAGAGAGGGCCGAATAAATCCGGCCACGGCGGCGTTTGAGGTGTGAGGCTTGGGATTCTGTAACTTTGTTTTAGAAATGGGAAATCGGATAACTTGAGGCTGGTGGGGATGAAGATGAGCGACGGGGCTACTATTGATGCACTTGTACATGTGCATGCATTTTGCTGAAGAAGTGAGGTCCACGCCGCGCCTCATTTTGAGAATTGTTTTTTACTGGGTGAGGTATATGTCACTTGTCACTTGGTAACTCGCTTATATGATTGATGGTATGGTATGGATGGGGTTGACTACATACACTACTGTGCTATGATGCTGGCCAGTTTGCAGGATTGGTTACGTAGACGTCGATCTGGAACGTGTCGTTGGGATTGGTCTTTGGATGGAGTCTTGGTGGTGTTGTTGCTTTTGTTAGATGCAATTAATAGGTTGGAAATATGCGTGGGTGATATCATTTGAGCTGCTGGAGCTCTTGTGAGAGATACTCGTGTGCATGACCCAGGGATAGCCGGTGTCACGGTGGCCACTCTGGCAAAAGTACGATGGTGTTGAGGTTGGTGATGGTAACAGGTGGATGGGAAGGTAGGTGAGAGTCGACCGATGAATGAAGAGTCTCTTGGGCTAGAGATGAATTGATTTTGTTGGCGATCAAGCATGGAAATAGTTGCCTGTGGATGACTCTTCGTTTGATACTCATATTACGACAGACACGAAGATCTTTCGCCCAAATTATCTGAAGCTCTTCAAGATATATCCCTCTAGGGTAGGGCTCGCTGGTGATTGGGATAGCCACAATGACCTTCAAAAGGCCAGTAGACAATGATATCGCAAGTCCCGAAAATCCCATCCCAAGATTCAAAAACCAATGCAAGAACAAGATGTAGTATATCAAGTGTCATTGGGGGTATGGAAGATGCGCAGAGCAAAAAAAGTCACAGCAACTCTACCTATTGCCGTGTATATACAAGATGCATCGCTTTCGAAAAAAAAACCCAGTCTAGATCCAGAACCCAGATTGCAGGTTCCCGACATGCCATATCATAACTCTCTATATCTCTATGAAGAGACAGGCATCGTGTCGCGCAGCTGGTAATGGAACAGCTGCCACACGCCCTTGAGCGCTTCTAAGCGGTCATTCTTGTCAAAGAGGTCGAACCATTTGGTTCGCTGCAGTTTCAGCACATGCCACGGTTGCTCCGTGTCGGAGTCTGGTGAGAATGTGCTCTCGCCGTTGGTGAGGATGTCCAGGTAGCGTTTGTGGACGCGGAGATGGAGGATTGAGACGTGGTGGTTGATTGAGGAGATCATATAAATCTAGAAGAGAGGGAGGTTAGCTCGTCTGTCACTATAACTGCCCCTTCATCTAAAACATCTGAAACCTCTGAAACAAGGCAGGATTCACATACATCGTCGAATGGACTATCCCGGGCCTTGCCAATCTGCATATAACTCAGTCTCTTATCCCAGAGACTCGGCCCAGGCTGGATAATCTTCCACTTCTCGCTACTCGTAAGTCTGCGCATGGCACTCGGTCTCCGCGAAAGCGATGTGACGAACGGATGCTCGATCTTGTGTCGCTTACGCGCGATGTCCGCCTCCGGGGCGGACGGCCTGGCTTCCTCCATCATAGAGTCCGGCAGGGACATCCCGTGTCCCATACTGACAAGATCATCCAGGATCCCATCGTGGGGTGCGCCACCGAAGCGCGGCGCCATGGTCCACCACTTGCCTTCTCCGGGTCGCTGTTCAATTTCGCCCTCACGAGCTCGCTCTTGGGCTGCGAGGAGCATACCTCCGACCTCGCGGAAGATGTCACTGACTTCGCCGATGCCGTGGCCTTGGCTATCCGCGGTGGTGCGGAATGTGGTCTCCGGACGGCATTGCGCGATCAGTACGGGCCCTTCTAGCATCCCGCTTCGCGCGATCTGGCGGTCTCGAGGCGATCGGGATGCCTGGAAGGACTGCCGCACTGGGAAGAGGAGGTTCTTGGTCATCAATCGTGGAGGAAGAGTGGGTACCGTGACTTGGCATCCGAATGGCCATGCGACCATCTCGACAAAGGCTCGAATTGTCTCGTCGCGCACTTCATCGGGCATCTCGTGCCCCGTGCCAATTCTACGGCCCGTATACATGGCCACATAGGGCCTATGCTCGCCCAGAGGGGTCTCGCTCGTAATCTCGTGGGATTGTGTCTCATCCACTTCCATTTCATCGCCCGTGGAGTTGGTTCCGCTTGTGATTTCCTGTTCCATGTGTATTTGGACATCGCTTTCCAACTCCATCTCATTGGGAGGTGTGGGTTCAGGAGTTGCTGGACGCTCAAAGTAGTGGTCTAAGCTGGTGTCCCAGTATTGAGCCACGTGCTCTAATCCTGTCCAGAACTTCCTCGACTGTGTCACGCGAACCCGACTCCGGCCCTCACGCGGTGGCAAACGTGCCACCTCACGGAAGGTGTCGTCGTTGTCCAGTGCCAACTCGTTTTTTAGCGTCTCATATCGATCCTTGGGGGGATAGGGGACTCCGTTGCCCATCAGCGGGCGAGCGACATCTTCCGTTGGCTCAGTGGTGTCCTCCCATGGCAAAGGAGCGAGGGCGAGTGTCTGGTCGGGGAACATGTGGCGTACATCGACGTCGGATTCTAGTTCAAGGTTCAACGCCTTGAACCGGTCCAAGCAGATATCTTGTGGACGTTTGATGTCGGCCAGGAGATCTGCAATGTCCTTGAGTTTCGAGTCCGATTCATTGGGAACAACATTGGGCAGGTTGTAGGCGGGGAAATCGAGGGGTGTTGGGTCGGCGGGGGGTCGTCTTTCTTTCTCCGGCTCCGAAGTGGCGGAGGGCAAGGCTATATCAATGTCGAGTTAGCTGCTGAGACCATATTTGACGAGGTCCGATGTCATGGGGGATTGAAGGTCGCGTGGGACACAAGCCATGCGCCACATTCCACATATGACGATTCAGGGACTTGGCCAACTGCCCACGGAAGGAAAGGAAAAGAAACCAAGTAACAGGGAGGCTCACCCAGCCCAGAACCCCAGCCAAACATCGTGAGCTAGATGCAAATGCAAGATTATCGCACACTCTCAGGTCACATGCGGGGAAAGGAGAGTAACCGAAGCGGTGAAGTGAAACAGAAACAGGGAGAGACGGAGGTATCAAATAGACAGAGAGAGAGACAGAGGGAGAGACAGAGATAGAGAGAGACGAAAAAAAAACAGACACAATAGATCAAAGCGAATGTGTTTAGGAGGGAAGTTTCACGGGACTTGTGGGGAACCGGAATATTCACCCCGACATCCAACTATGTTAGGCGGTTTACATGAACGGGGTGAGTGACATAAGTACGGAGTACGAAATTAACATAACTTATTACACTACTACGGTGTAGGTTATATCACAAATAGTCTTATTTCGTACAGTTTACGTACGGTTATCCCTATTTATTTGGATATTGACTTGTGTGTATAAGTCACATGACAGCTCCGATATGCCCAAATGAGGCATTGCTCCCGTATCAGTATCATAATATCACAATATCACTTCCATCTGTCCCGTATAGAACGCCTCTTACTCCTGGATTAGGCCAAGTATGAAACATCAAGGGGTGGACTGGTCCAAAGAGTCACTTCGGTTCTCTCACCAAGCCGAAACCGCCTCGTTTCGTCTACAGGGGTGATACATCCCCCGCTCGAATCCCATGAACAATGACGAGCTGCGCGTGCAGAAAAGTTAGCCAGTGTCGCATTACTTCAGAGTTTTAGGGACTGATCAGCCTCATCATGGCTTCTTATTGGATCGGGGAAGGCTAAGCGCTCTCCTGTCACAAATGGAGGGGTGAACTACTTCTTGGGCAGAGGCGCCTAGCTTCAAACAAATGAACATAAACCCCCTGGAGAGACGGTGAAGACAGATTCTCTATAAAACCCTCCGGGCTTCGTATCGCAACTACCCTGGCTCTTTTTGCCTCTGGGAAGCTGACGGGATGGCTTCGAGAAGGGGGCTTGAGTTAACCTTAAGGAATTGCACAATTGTGTGGTCTTCTTTGTCTTATACTTTGTGCTTGACGTTGTCGTCGTTGACGTTGACGTTGTCGTCGCTTTGTCCATCGTCGCGGAAACCGTCAACCATACAAAGGGATCCCCCCGCCACAACAAAGGCTCCCATGTTCTTTTCTTTATGCACGACTCGAGAAATTTATCCAGATACTGCTTCTAGCCTGTCTTGCAGGAATTAATTGAAATGGTCTCCATCTCCGCCGAGCCGAGTGCATCACCGATATACAATCCCCCAGCAACACGCTCTTGGACGACAATCACATCAATCAAGACGGAAACAATTCACCCAACTTTGTTGTTTACTCTCACGGAGTCTGAACTTGTTTCCAGTATTGTCACGTCCAGTGCGTTTGGGCAAGCATCGCAAACCTCACTTCCAGCATTGGATACCAACCCCGTTGTTGGAACTCCATCGCCAACCACAATCAATACGTCTACATCATTCCCGGGATCAAGTCTTGCTATGACATCAACCATGGATGCTCCATTGTCAACGATGGAGCCATTTGCCCCGCTATCAAACTTGAGTGACTTCGCCTCGTGGGAGAATCTGCCGTCCACCTCGACAAACTTGGGACAGCCCGAGGTCACTACGAGCTCTACGAGTTCAGTGAGCACCTCAACTACCAAAATTGTCACTTCCTCGACGGTAACATCAGCCTCGCCAACTATCTCCCCATTCGTTGGAACTGTAACGGGCACAATCTCGGCAGACAATTCAAATTCATCGACCACCGCGCCATTCATCGGAACTGTAACGAGCACAATCTCGGCAGACAATTCCACCACCTCATCCAGCTCTACTCCTGTCTCTCACTCCAAGCATGACAACGCCATCAAACCCGCGGTCATAATTGGCAGCATCCTAGGCGCGTCAGCTTTCATCATGTTCGCGATGGCAGCCTGGTTCGTCCTCCGTCGCAGACGCCAGAAGATTATCAAGGTGCAAAAGATAATTGGCGCCCGAATGGGAGGCGACTCACTCGGTCCACTAGAAGGTTACGAAACCCTCTATTTCCCCGAGGCACCAGTGCCCGGGGCAGACACCAAGTCCGCTCCAATCCCAACCCTCCCAGTTATACCGGAGGAAGTCCACTCAGTGCCTGCCTACTCCAATGGACCTTTCGTTCTCGCGCACTCAAACCCAGACCTGTCAATGGACAGTCTGTACCTGCGTAGTGAACGTTCACGACGCGCCTTCTACACTCAAAACACGGTCACCTCAGACCACGAGACTGACCACTCTCCTTCTCTGGCAAAGGATGTATCTCCTCGATCCCATGTGGTATCTACATACTCCCGCTCATCATGGGAAGATGCAAGTGTGAGCAATCTCGATTTCTACGGAGATAGTACCACAGCTCTTCCCCAGGAGCTGGACGGCGTCACTCTCCCACCTTCCAACGCAAAGTGTCTGGAAGCCTGCATGTCGCGTGATAGTCTGCGCAGCGACCCGTTCGATCTCGAGGCTCCAAGTGTCTCGAACCCTCCTGGCAGCCCACCAGTTCCACCTGTTCCTACAGAGTGGGGAACCAAGTTTTAGGCTTGTTGCGTCCCAACGCTCGAACCTACGTTCGTTTCACTTTGTCGTCAGTTTCATGGTCCTCATTGTTGGATTTGTTTTTCGATTTTTCTTGTTTTGTGGATACCTCAGGTTTAGCTTTTCGTCGCATATTTGGCGTGTTTCGTTTATGACTGAAAGATTTTATGCCCCTTTATGTCTCTCTACTTTTTTGTACTGATTTTGTTCTAGCTGTTGCTTCTTGCTTCTAGCTTCCTGTTTTATGGAGATTCCCCCGGGTCGCGTTTCTTCTTGTTAGAGTTGGTTGGGTTGGTGTGTTTGACTGTATGATCACTGAAAAGGGGTAGTGAGGGTATTTTTACTTGGCTGTCTCTAGTGAAAGCTCTTATTTTTATTTCTTATGTACACTAGCCTATCAATTGGAAGATTCCTTTTTCCGATGAAGCCGTATTCCTTGTGTCCTCCAGAGCCTCAATCACATCGGACTACCGTTTATACTCTACAGTGTCTCACCAAGTACTCACTCTGGTAGACCGCCATTCCAAGCCCAAAGTCCCAGTCCAAGGAAATAAGAGAGAAAGAAAGTCTACTCGTATCGGATTGATTGAAAGGTTGTTGCCCAAACTTCGTGTTCGTTCTTCGGGTGTTCCAAAGTAAATAACAAAGACCATCTGCCAATTGAACAACAAGCCATCGCCTCGGGGCTTAAACTTTAACCTCATTGTTCGGATACTTCGGGATCCGGGTAGGTTATTCACGTCCCAGGGCCTTGCAGTATTTCTTCAAGGTCGTGCGGCTTTGCCATATCCCGGATACAGGGAGTATACATACTTGCAACCAAACTCATCCATCAACCGGCGGTGTACCGGATCAACAAGAAAATACATCCTAAAGTCTGATAGACCGACATGGCTCTTTCTGTGTTATGGTTTAAAGTCTGGAGAAACTTCTACGCTGGAACATGTGCCTCCTTCCCGCGATGGTGAGATCAGAGGCGTTGCCTTGCCGTACTTCTGGAAGCTGTGTGGAAGTTTTACCGCTACTTATGCCAAGGGTTAAGTGCAGCAAGGACACGGGATATTAGAACTTTCTGGTATGCTTTGCCAGGCTACGTGGTGTAGGCGAGACTTTCAGGGAATGGGTTGCTATGCTGCATGCTGTGGTGAGTACAGTGGCTCTTCGGAATTCAGAACCGGAAGTGATGACCACTTAGTATGCAGCTAGACTGCTTATACACTCTAGTGAGAACTCTTGCTGTTCAAATAACGTTCTAGGGAGTCATTTGAGGAATGTGGATTCCACAATGCAGAGTTTGACGATACGCACGTTCAACTCATATTTGCTCTGTTTGAGCTAGCGAGGTGTCTGAGGGCTAAATATGTAACAGGTATGCTTTTGTCCTGTATGATTAACCTGTAGTTTTACTAGATTAGGAGTTTTTTCTGCAATCTTCATTTTTATACTTGAAATCGGGTGGAGTAACCTCGGAGAATATATATGTGTAATAGAGCAACAATTTCACGCAAATCATATTTATTTTCTTCTATATGTCTAGCCTGATAGAATATTACAACCGAAGTAATGATTAAGATAATGTGATAGGCAATTGGAAGTGTTACATAGTGTGATATTGTAGTGTGGGTGGATGGATGATTCCCCCAAAGTGGGTAGATCTTCTATGATCAATGCCCCAGACACGACAAGTAGCCCCAAGACCCATAAATTACTTAGAGAGGATTTTGCTCCACGGCATGAGATTACCAAGGGGAGATGACTCAGGGATTGTTTTGAGAATAAGCCTGCATAGCGCATGAGTTGACATGCCGTGTACTGCGTGTATGCCCTGTCTGCCCTGGGCATGACAACGACGATGCATCTACTGTATCTGGTGATGACGCCGTGTAGTACAGCTACATGTAGCTGCCCAGGTGAGATCACAAGGAATCTACTGAGAGGCATAGAGCCTCGGGAAAGGCAATTTGCTGGCGACGTCTACGGGAAGAGATGTGACCTCGTGTAGGTAAAGTAAAAAAAGATTTCCTTTTGCTTTCTCGTTACATTTTAGAACAAGAATAGCTTGAGTATCACATCATCATCGCATCTTCCTATTTTCCCATGGCCATATTTCCCCAAAGATCCAAGAAGCCCACGAACCCCACGCAATCGAGAGGGAAACGGCATAGAAGAAAGTCGTCACAACAGAAATCTAGACTAAATAGGAAGAGTCGAAGGCCGACCTGGATTCGATATCGGGAGTAGCCTCGAATCCCGATCTCCAACCCAGAAGTAACCGTTTCCAACCTCTGCACCGCCGAATTGCGAGAAAGAACTTCAATCAACGGAAGGGAAAACTTGAATTTTTGTTATCAGATTTACTCCTGAGTCTCGTTGATCAGAGCATCGCGCTTAGCCTCCTTGCGCTCCAACCGGCGCTCACGGAGAGCCTTGTTCTTGGCACGCTTAGCGTCCATCTCCTCACGGAGGACACGGTCGCGTGCGCGCTCAGCCTTAGCCTTCTGGATCTGTAGCGAGAAAAAAAAGAACGAGTCAGCCTGGATGTCCTTCGGGTATGTTCATGATCGACCATATGCGTTCTCATCCGTAGGGTGGGTTCAGGGTTTGACTTACGTGCTCAACGAGGGCACGCTTGTGCTTGAAGGTGTTACCCTTGCTCAGGTGGTAGAGCTCGTGGTAGAGGTGCTTGTCGATCTTGCCGGCGGCACGGTAGCGGACGAGCAGACGACGGAGAACACGCATGCGGCGCATCCAGAGGACCTGGCTATAAGTAGAAAGGATATCAGTAACTGCGTCCCCGGTTTTCTGAGCCTCTTGGATAAAAAGTCCATGATAGGCCGGAACAAAGATGGGAGAGTGCATACCTGGGCATACGGGCGTCCTTGGTACCCTTGCGCTTACCCAGGCCACGGTGACGGCCGATACGGCGGGCCTCGTTGAGCTCACGTGCGCGGGCACGGGAGTGCATGGTGACGGGCTTGCGGATGATCAGGCCATCGCTGACGAGCTTGCGGATGGTCTGGCGGGAGTTGGCGTTGGAGATTTCGCTCATCTCGTTGGGGTCGAGCCAGATCTTGCGCTTGCCGCAGCCGACCACGGAGGCGGCGAGGCGCTTCTGGGTGGTAAGGTTGACCCTGTGGTGGAAAGAGAAACCCAGGTCAGCATCATGGCCACACACATCACGAAAGTTGTTTCCTCCACATAGCGAAATATATCGGTCCACGGGGTTGGGTGATTTCGACAAAGATTTCCTGGCATGTGCCTTCTTGGATTGCAATAACAGTTGGAGACTCACATCTTGATGTCGGCGTATCGACGGTCGTTGGCGGATGATGTTCGTGGCACTGAGAAATCCCGACGGTGAGAGTTTGAGAGGGCACTGCGGGCCAGCTTAGGTCAGCGAGGGCTAAGCGAGTGCCTTTCCACAACGGGAGGAGAGGGTCAAGGGCTGGTAGCCCTAAAGCTAACCGGATTGGGAAGAAAAAGTAAATGATGATCCTGCAGTCCGGGGAAGCCAGAAATAGCGAGGATATATGACTGGGACAGGATTGATGAAAGAGAGGCAATAGATCTAGGTACAATGCCCTTTTCTTCTTTCTTCTAGACTTCTTTGTAAACACATGGACGCAAACGCGATCTACATCACATGACATCGAATTTTATCGCACATCACATGATCATCCATGTCCTTCGGATCTATACGTACGAAGTACGGAGTACAAGCAACCGAATGCCTATCTGTTGTGCTTCACAATCCATGTAGAAAGAATAAATGCATTTCAATCATAACTCTACAATATACACATATACTGCTGCAGCATATGCATAACTTTTATACGACTAAAGCAAAATGCAAAGGATATCTATAGACAGATGCTCCCTGTATGCGCAAACAAATCATCACTCATCGCCAAAGGCTTCACCAAGATCAACCTTGCCAATGCTCCACAATTCCTTCTCGTCATCGATTTCATCGTTCGACAGTCCCAAGCCACCCTCGCCACCTTCGGCTTCCCGACGCTCACGCGCCTGGTTAGCCAGACGAGTGGCAATGCGCTTGAAGTAGTCAGACATGCTGCGCTTGGCACCCGGCGGGAGGGATGCACCCGGACCCGCCATATACTTGTCAAACACCTCGCTGTCGGACTCAACAACCGAGAAGATAGACAAGAAGGCTGCTTCCGCGGCGAGCTTGACGGGGATCACCAGATCGCGGACACTGCCGAAGATAGGCGGGGCCAGCAGAGCCAGGTGAGGGCGAGTAAGCTCGGGGTGCAGACGGCTGACTGTCCGGATCACCACTAAGCTCAGACGGCGGGTGTCGGATGGACTGCCGGCCTGAATGGCAGGTGCCAGGGCTTCGAAGATGGTCTTGCTTGCTTCGAAGGCATGGTTGCCATCATTTGACAAAAGGTACTTGCCTGCAGCGAGGGCGCTGTTATCGGACACGAAGGGCTGCTTCTGTGTTAGCTTCGAGCAAGAATAATTGATTGAAAATTCTACTTACGTCCTTGTTGGCAATGCCTTGACAGATAACCGTGGGCAACTCGACAGAGAAATTTTCTGTCAGAGTATCGGGGCATTCAGCCAAGAGGGCATTGAGCCCAAGAACTGAGGCGTGGGAGAAAGTACCATTGAGAATACGGTTCCTAAGGAAGTTAGCATGAGTCGAACAATCCCAACGTGGGAACGAAGATGCATACTTGATAAGAGGGACCGCGCTCTCAACTGGAAGGACCTTGACGAGAGCACCAAGCAGGTGTGCGTTGGTAATGGCGACAGAGTCTGGGGTAAAGTTAGCAATCCGTGGAAATCAAGGTATTTGGAAGAAACTTACCAGTTTGGTCACTGGCATCATCGTCAATGAGCGCAAGAATCGCCTGTCGGGAAGCCTCGCTCATATTGGCACCGGCCTTGCCGACAACCTCCTGGAGAGCCTTCATCATGGCGTTCTTTACACCAATGTCGGTAGTCTTCGAACCAGCAATGAGTTCTAGAAGATGAAT